CCCAGGATCGCGGGGCTGCGGAGGAACCGCAGTTTTGTGTCTTTTGAGGCCCGACTGCAACAGGCAGTGGGCGGCCAATCCCTCGGCTTAATTTGGATGCCGAAAGATGAACTCTTTTTGGATTTCGCAGCCAGCGCGGCGGTGCGACAGGCGCTGTTGCGCCGTGGCCGCAGCGAGCATTTCTACGACCGCACTGCGGCGCGGACGCCGGTCGTGGAAATTGGAGCCGCTCTCTCCTTTGGAGAGGAATGCCCCGACACCACCTTAGAAAAACACAGCGCTTGCGCATGTCTCCCTCTTTGCCGCGTCGCCTTTCAGTATGCGCGATAAACCCTGTAAAACACAGTGTTTTGTGTACCTCGCCCACCTCGCCCACACGAAACACTGTAAAACACAGGGTCGGAGGTCGGAGGTGAACTGGGGGTGAACCGGGGGTGGTCGGCGGGGGGGCGTCGCTCCATAACCTTCGGTTACACCGAAGGCCCTCCGGGCGACACACGGGCTGGCCATGGGGCCGGCGCCCGGATTGCCGGCCCAACATAGGGCAAAAGTAGGACGGTAGAGGGGATAGAGAGCTGTCGCGCTTCTCGCTCTGTTTTCTCGTAGCCTGGCTTCGGGTCTCTGTCCTTCCACGTGTTTCTCCCTCGCTTTCCCTCCCTCTCTCTCGCCTGTCGTTTCCGTCGCTCCCTCTCCGTCAGTTTCTCTTAGTCTGTCTTTCTTACTGTCTTTCTTTCTTTTCTTTCGGTGAGCCTTTCTTGGTTTCTATCTCTCTGTCATTCTTTCTGTTTTGCTTGCTTGCTTTCTTTCTTTCTTTCTTTCTTTCTTTCTTTCTTTCTTTTTTCTTTTTTTCTTTCTTTCCTTCTTTCTTTCTTTCTTTCTTTCTTTCTTTCTTTCTTTCTTTTCGTCTGTCTGTCGGTCGGTCTGTCGGTCGGTCTGTCGGTCGGTCTGTCTGTCTGTCTGTCTGTGTCTGTCTGTTTGTCTGTCCGTCGGTCTGTCTGTCTGTCCCTCTCTCTCTCTCTCTCTCTGTCTCTGTCTTGGTCCCTGGTCTGTCTCTGCCTCTGTCTCTGTCTCTGTCTCTGTCATTGTCTCTGTCTGTCGGTCTGTTTGTCTGTCTGTCTGTCTGTCTGTCCGTCGGTCTATCTGTCTGTCCCTCTCTCTCTCTGTCTCTGTCTTGGTCCCTGGCTGCAAGAGATTCAGGCTCCAACGTCACATAAGTCCCAGACCCGGTCTGCACGTCTTGAAGCACATCGAGTGGTTGTTCTGTCGTGGAGCTTGGGGTAACCGGTCCACTCGTCGAAGGAGGGGCAAAGGTTCCGGTTGAGCAAAGCGTTGGAAGGCACGGATTGCCATGAAATCGTGATGGGTTTGCCAACAGAGCTGCGAAAGCAGCGAGGTGCGGGGCTGTTTGTGGCCAAAAACACATGCCGCATCCTCTCTAATTTTCGGGCATCGCCGCTGACAACTCCACATTTCTCGGAGTGCGGCTGTGGAGCTCGTGCGTTCTTGTGGGTCTGGAAGAGGTTGCCCACCAACTCACAAGACTCCAGGGACCTCTTCAATGAGCTCCTCAACCAGTTCGCCACTGCTTTGTGTGGGGAATTCAACCGCAAGATCGCGGCATCCTCCAGCAAACAAGAGAAAGCGTTTCTTCGAACCGTCCGGGACGAGGCAAATCAATCACTGGAGGCAGCGCAGTTCCGTTGCTGTGAGACCATGAAGATCTTGCGATGTGCGATCACCCGGTCAACGAGAAGCTTTCGGGCCGTGCTTCGGGATTCACGACTACGATGTGTAACAGAGACACCGCAATCTCTGGGAAAGAGAAGGCGTCTCTACGTGTATGTATATGGGAGGGGTATTTATTTTTGGATTTTTTTGTGTCTTTTTTGGATTTTTTGTTTTTCGTGGCTTCTGGCTTCTGGCTTCTGTGGCTTCTGGCTTTTGTGGCTTTTGGCTTCTGTGGCTTCTGGCTTTTGTGGCTTTTGGCTTTCGTGGCTTTCGTGGCTTCTGTCTTTTGGCTTTTTGGCCTATCCATCTATCTGTCTATACCTATCTATTTATCTATCTATTTTTCTTTCTTTCTTTCTTTTGGCAGCTGTTCTCCTTTCTCTTTTTGTATTTGCTTTTCCTGTTGTTTTCGTTGCAGAGACGAAACCAAGCAAGCAAGCAAGCAAGCAAGCAAGCAAGCAAGCA